GTAAATTTATTATTAATACTAGCTAAATTTCATATCCATAGTTGTACATTTTCTAAACTAAACCCCAGATTTACAGTATTTTAAGCCTACGACAATCAAACAGTGAAGCTACTGTATATTTGCACATTATGATTGAAGCAGTTTAATTCTAGGTTTAATGCAACATTTTCCAACATGTAACAAAACCATTTTTGTACCATATAATAAAAGATATTATTATATACACCTAAACAAGCAGCTGTGATGCAAAAACTTAATTCAAAAATAGTGCCTGCAATGTGTCTCTCCTAAGATGTCAATGCCAATGTCAAATTTTATTTATAAAGCGCTTTAAAAACAGCCAATGGCTGCACAGCAATCTATAAACAATACAAAATTACTAAAATACATAATAAATTACAACAAACAATATCGTAAGAGCACATAAAAGTTACAATGCCAGGTCTTATATAAATTAAATGCCTTAGAATAAAAGCGATCATTTCCAAAACGAGCTTGCTGCCTTTTCCCAATTTTTCAGTGAGAACCCTGTTGCTTTCTGCTAAGCTTACAGGATGACTCTCTCCAGATTTTTGCTCCAGTGCACCAATGCCAAATAAAATCCCGTGTGTCAAAGAAGTACCACACGATTCAGACAAAATGCATTATTAGTGGCAATAGAAATTAGCAAATGTTGCAGGAAAAGCTCTTTTCTACCTTGGAGTTCACCTCTGCAGTTTGAAATCAACAATTTTGTTGAATTTTAACAAAAGATATAACTGAAACCACAATTATTTTTCTTCTTTTCTAACAAGTTATGCACGTTATGCCCCTTGTGTCCAAAAGGTCTTACATGCCCCAAAGGTTTCTAGAATAATTGTGGACAGTGATGCATGCATGGTTGGAATCTGCAGACCTTGCATACTCMTATAACAATGAAGTTTAAAACTGTTTTTATAATAATCATGCATATTTTCAGACATTCTTACAGTTGTAAGACATAAAGACAATCTTTTCAGCAGCAGCAGCAGCAGCAGTGGCTGAGCATGGTTGAATGTTCATCCAACCACCATTTTTTACCATTCTCTGGAACCATTGGTACAGAGAGCAGCGTCACAGACCAAAACATTAGCAACTGTTTCCAACTGAACTGATTCAGTGTAGGAGATCTAAACCCACTGTCATGGAACAATTTCACGCAACATGGAAGAACTACCGCAGTTTATGTATYAAGAACTCCAACTTAGTTCAGCATTGCAGGAGAAAATATAACATTTTTTTCTTTCCCTTTCCATACAAGTGAATTATAATACATATTTTAGTCTTCAGCTTCTTTTTGATTCAGATAAAAAGGTGTTCATTTATTTTCAAGGTGATGAATATGATCATTTTAGGTAAATAAGGAAGAACAAATTAAGTGGATTTTTATTGACACTTTCAATGTCTGTAACTTTACACCTGAGAATATATTTATTGTATTAAGGACTCGTCTAGTGACTGTACGTCAATGTATTTTATTTAAACAACATTTACAAAGGTGAAAGTCAAGCAATAATATGTTTGTGTGACTGTCTGTTACCAAAATATCTCATGAACCACTGGATGGATTTTAATAAAACTTACTGAAAGTAATCATTGGGTGTACTGTACATCTACAACTGATGGGATTCAAACTGATTCAAGGTGGCTGCTACAGCCATCAATCTTATAAACAAATAAATGGAAATATGGACATGATGTTTATAAAGGATATAAGGAGTTTTTTTTATTGAGCCATTTACATATAAATGCAACTTATCATTTTCAACAATATTTCCAGATGTTAAACCAATTTTATTTTCACTTTCATAGTTTTATCTTCAACTACTTGTAGTTTTAACTGTAARTGTCTTGAGTGTTCATAGAAATGTTTCACCAGCTTCTAGCCAAGATTCTGATGTTTCTGTAGAGACCACATATGTCTATGTTTAACTAAAACAACTTGCAGTAATTAAAGTAGAATACTGGGGGTTTGGGCTTAAAAGCTGAATGAACCAATTGGCGGGCAGAATTAGCCCTGTTCTACACTATAAACCACTATAAACCATAACATTCTTATGGTAGTAGAGGATAAGCATTACAGTGGGTGACTATTTATTTGAATAATAGGAAACTATTTTCTACAGGTAAAATAATAAGATCAGTAATGTGTAATATTAGTTGTAGAGTTCCTCAGGGTTCTGTGCTTGGACCAAAGTTATTTATTTTGTATGTGAATGATTTAGTCAGTGTGTCAAAGCTGTTCTGTTGTCTGATGACACATCCCTTTTTTATTCTGGAGAAAATATTGATTGATATTGGAGATGATGCAGAATTTAGGAAGATACAAACTTGGTTTCAACATAAATCAAACTACATGATATTTGGTAACAGAAAGAAAAGTACTGAGGTTCCATTTACAGTTGATGGTGTTGAGATATAGAGTCAGTGAGGTAAAGATTTTGAATGTTTTCACTGATGAAAACCTGACATGAAAATCTCATAAATTATTTAAAAATAAAATAGCTAAACCAATAGCTTTGCAGTATGAGGTAAAAGAGTTATTGAATGATAAAGCTCTGTATATACTGTGTAATGCAATGATTGTTCCACATTTACAGTGGTTTGCAAAAGTATTCATACCCCTTGAACTTTTCCATATTTTGTCACATTACAACCACAAACATAAATATATTTCACTGGAATTTAATGTGAAAGACCAACACAAAGTGGTATACAATTGTGAAGTGGAAGCAAAATTTTACATGAATCAAAACATTTTTTACAAATAAAAAATTGAAAAGTGCGACGTGCAAAATTATTCAGCCCCCTTTTCCCTGAGTGCAACCAATTGCATTCAGAAGTTGCCTGATGACTGCTAATGACTCAAAAGGGTCCACCTGTGTGTAATCTAATCTCAGTACAAATACAGCTGCTCCGTGACGGCCTCAGATGTTGGTTAAGAGAATATTGGGGAGCAAACAGCATCATGAAGTCCAAAGAACACACCAGACAGGTTAGGAATATGGTTTTGGAGAAGTTTAAAGCAGGCTTAGGTTATAAAAAGATTTCCCAAYCTTTGAACATCTCACCGAGCACTGTTCAATCCATCATCCGGAAATGGAAAGAGTATGGCACCACAGTAAACCTGCCAAGACAAGGCCGTCCACCTAAACTTACAGGCCGAACAAGGAGATCACTGATCAGAGAGGCAGCCAAGAGGCCCATGGTGACTCTGGATGAAATGCAGAGAGCCACAGCTCAGGTGGGGGAAACTGTCCACAGGACAACAATTAGTCGTGCACTACACAAATGTGGTCTTTATGGAAGAGTGGCAAGGAGAAAGCCATTGTTAAAAGAAAACCATAAGAAGTCCCGTTTGCAGTTTGCCAGAAGCCATGTTGAGGACACAGCAAACATGTGGAAGAAGGTGCTTTGGTCAGACGAGACCAAAATTGAACTTTTTGGCCACAATGCAAAACGCTATGTGTGGCGGAGAAAGAACACTGCACATCACTCTGAAAACACCATCCCCACTGTCAAATATGGTGGTGGCAGCATCATGCTCTGGGGGTGCTTCTCTTCAGCAGGGACCGGGAAGTTGGTCAAAGTTGATGGGAAGATGGATGGAGCCAAATACAGGGCAATCTTGGAAGAAAACCTGTTGGAGTCAGCAAAAGATTTGAGACTGGGGCGGAGGTTCACCTTCCAGCAGGACAACGACCCTAAACACAAAGCCAAAGCTACAATGGAGTGGTTTAAAAAAAAGAATATTCATGTGTTAGAATGGCCCAGTCAAAGTCCAGACCTAAACCCAATTGAGAATTTGTGGCAAGATCTCAAAACTGCTGTTCACAAACGCTCTCCATCCAATCTGACTGAGCTTGAGCTGTTTTGCAAGGAGGAATGGGCAAGAATTGCAGTCACTAGATGTGCAAAGCTGGTGGAGACATACCCTAAAAGACTTGCAGCTGTAATTGCAGCAAAAGGTGGCTCCACAAAGTATTGACTCAGGGGGGCTGAATAATTTTGCACATCGCCTTTTCAGTTTTTTATTTGTAAAAAATGTTTTGATTCATGTAAAATTTTGCTTCCACTTCACAATTGTATACCACTTTGTGTTGGTCTTTCACATTAAATTCCAGTGAAATATATTTATGTTTGTGGTTGTAATGTGACAAAATATGGAAAAGTTCAAGGGGTATGAATACTTTTGCAAACCACTGTAAGTATAGAAGTCTGGGAAAAAGCATGTAAAACAATTACAAATCCTATTTTTATTTCACAAAAACGAACGGTAAGAATCATTACTAGAAAACATTACAGCCACTCAACAAATACATTATTTTATCAGTTGAAATTATCAACATTTTATGATTTAGTTGATTATAATATTAGTTACTCACACATCCAGTCAAAATTTGTTGCTATAACCTTAAAGGAAACGAGATTTATTTTAAAAATGTAATTTTGAACTAGTTTAAAGGAAAGAAGTACTTCGATTTAAGGAAAACGACTGTGGAGTAATCTTGAGATCGGTGTTAAAATGGATAGTAAAGTTTGTATATTTAAGGGAGTGTTAAAGATACAGTTTGTTGAAAAAATATGATAAATGTGTGTGTTGGCATAAATTGTTGTACAGGAAAAACCTGATTGATTTTTGTAAACCCTAAATAGTAAAAAAAAAAGTAAGAAAAGTAAAATAAAAATAGAATATTTCATAGATTACAATATGATATTAATGAAACTCTCAGGAAATAATCATTGGATGTTCATCTACAACTGATTAACCTTGGAGTCAATCTAGTTAACTGTCCTTAGAAAAATATATACAGTCAACTGAAATTTGATGATGGAGACATAGATTCACAACACATATTTTAAAAGTGTCATCTTGATAATATAATTGTGTTATTTCTTAAGACAAAATGATTAAAACTCTGACATGAGGTGGTGGACGATAAGAACTCCATCAGGAAATGTAAAGTGTGTAAAGAACTGACTTGTATGATGAGCTGCCAGCACTGATTTCTTCTTTGATCTGTCTGTTCAGAGCATCCGCGGCCGCCCTCCCCCTGCCTTCTCCCTCCACCTTCAGGACCACCTTCTTCTCTCCCTCCTGCCCCCCGGAGCGCTTCTTCCTCTCCTGGCCCTGRAGGAGGTCTTTCTCCTGCACCTTGTCGGCGATGGCGCTCTTCTCCACACCGCATTCGGAGTCCGCCGCGTGCCGCTTCGCGTGCCTGGACCTGTCAGGAGGCCGCTGGTCCACAGAGGGGACCGACAGGGGTTTGGGTATCCACGGGTGATCGTACCTTTTCGGGATGGGCCAGGGCTTGAAGTCCTTCTGGTACTGAGTCTCGCTGTTAAACGGTGTCTCCGGCTCATGGTATTGGTTCTTGGGCTTACAGCTCGGCTCGGGTCGCACTCTCCAGTGCTTAAAGTCCTCGCGCATCACCGAGCTGCACACGCGCTCCTCGGAGACGCACCTGCGCGGCCCGCGCGCCGCCTTGGCGGCGGAGGTCTCCGCGCGAGAGGGCTGCGTTTCTATGGCGACCCGGGCCTGGGGCGCGTGCAGCGGCGGCTGCAGCTGGATGTGCTGCAGCTCCGAGGCGTCCGTGTACTTGGTGAAGACCAAAGGCACGGCGATGTCAGCCTTGTCCAGCTGGTTCCAGAAGCGCGCCATGCAGCAAGCCCTGCTGATACAGGGCCACGCCATGATGCTCCACTAAACACCAAAAACACCAGGTCCTCCGGGTCCGAACCGAACACTGCTCCACACTCCTCTGCAGGACACAAGCACAATGTCCGACGCTTTAAATCTGTCTGCTGAACACATCCATCGTGTTCGTCGAATCGTTGGGTTGAAACAGTTTTATCTAAAACCAGTCGTTTGCGCTGCTTCCTTCTCTGTCAGCTCCGTTTGTCCTCCTACATCACGGCACGGCACGGCACAGAATGCCCCACCCGCCTGCTCAGCATCACGGAGACGCTGAGGGCACAGATGGAAAAGAAACGTCAAGTTGGACATTTTCACTTCCGGTTTGACTTCAGCCTCATAAAGCTGCTGCTGCTGTTTTTTATTACGTCTGTGAGCGTGAGTTTAAAAGAGATGAATGAAATGAAGGGAGACACAAACATGTAAAATCTGAATCAGACAAGTTTTTATGTCAGACTGGAACACAAACATTTCTGTGCTTTAATTTTGAAATACGATCAGAGGAAACGGGACGCGCGCAAAGTGCTTTTACGCACCATTTGTCCGCACCTCCGTGACTCCTGAGGGGTCTTTTCACACAAGCCCTGGGATATAAATTATTTAATTATTTAAATAAATGCCTGTTTTTTACAGAGTTTTAGGAAAGATCCTAAATCAGAAAAATTGTGTTGCTGCCGTTTTGGTCAAAACTGGAAAATAACATTATTAGAAAATTCATAAAGAGCAAAATGTTGCTTTCTGAGTGTGTGTTGTGAATGAATCTCAGCTCCAACCACAGCAGGTTTTTTTTTTTTTTTTAGCTTGATAGGCATTTTTTGGCAAAAACTTCACATTTGAGGTTCTTTGTAGAAGTGCACATGGTAAAGTTTGGTGGTAAAACTGACATGCAAGGTTTTAGTCTGCTCTTGCTGCTCTTGTCACATTAGGGCTGTTTTTTTCAGTGTGTACYAAGTACCACAAAGTGATACTTGAGTAAAAGTACAAGTATCTTACCAAAAAATTACTTTGATAAAAGTTAGTCTCCTTTAGGAACARTACTTGAGTAAAAGTCTCAAAGTATCTGATATTTTTTGTACATAAGTATCAAAAGTAAAAGTATTGATTTGAAAATGAGCAGTTAGATTTTCTGTAATAACATTTATTAGGAGGTGATCTCCCCCCAAAAAATGCAGAAATAACTATGTTGTTTTAAAATAATTGATGTTAAATTCAGCTGTTTCAATTTATATCCATATATCAAGGCTGCAAAAACCTTTTCCACAAAATGAAAATCCATCTGAGTGCTGCAGCCAAATGTAATAATACAATTCATGAAATACAAATACTTCTGAAGTACATTCCTTTTATTTTAAAAATTATGTCCTGCTGAAATGTGACATGATTTGTTTATGTACAAACTAATATGGTATCAGAATTTTATATATTTATACTTCTCATTCAACCACAGTTAAATTCACTCTGCCTAGGAGGCTCAGTTTATGGATAGTTTTCATTTTTTTCAACAAGCTGGAATGAAAACAAGCAAAAATGAAATAAAAGTAACGACTTTCTACTTCTTGCCTTTTTTTAAAAAGTGTAGTGAGTAGAAAGTACAGATAATTGTGTGAAAATGTAAGAAGTAGAAGTAAAATGTAGGCTGAAAAATAATTACTCAAGTAAAGTACAGATACCCAAAAATTCTACTTAAGTGCAGTAAAGAAGTATTTGTACTTAGTTACTTTACAACTCTGGTTTTTGTTGAATCATGTGTTGTCATTTTTCCTAGAAGTACATTCATATTCTTGGAAAATGCGAAGAAATTTAGGTATGCTGTTTAATACATCCTAAAAATGTAAAAATATTTGTTACTGTTAGAGAAATATGGAGAAAAATGCCAGCCTTTTCTTAATTGTTGAACTGATGTGGAACAGAAAAGTTGCAGAGAAAACAGGAATTACAATAAAAGCATTACAATGTATTTAAACCCTAAATATCCTGAATTGTTTTACAAAAGTATCATTCAATAAATAAATGCAGAGAGCATAATCCCCTAATGGTAGACCTAAAGTTACACCCTGTGTGCACTAATAATACATCTTCCACATGGAGCAACACTCAGCACAAAATTAAATAAGAATAAATTTTAAAAAATGCAAAAGTTTTGATGTTCTAAAACTGATTTAACAAATAAAACAAGAACAAAACTTTTAATATACCCAAAAACACATTTGTAAATATACAGTATTCATGTAGTCTTTTTTAGAGATTTGAAAATGATCGACTGTGCTGATTGGAAAACTGACTGTTGTTCAATCAATTAATTTTATTTGTATCCGCAGCTACATTTGATTACAGTGAAAATGAGTCGGCTTCACTCCAAGAAAAATGCAAGACCTATGATATGGATGTACAGTAAACACAACATAATTAAAAGTGAACAGGTGCTCAATATATATA